TTCTGTCCGATGACAATTAATTCAGTGTCAGGCGAATTTTGCGTATCAGGTGGATCCGAATTAAGGCACTGCAATTTTGATCAATACGGAAAAATTAAAAAAAATCATACTATATTCTCTCACATGTAGATGTATTTGCAAAGTTTTCAACTAATTACTCATGAGTAACTACAGTTCTCACTTTACATTTACCCTAGAAAGTGTTACGGCTTTTCATTTCCAACTACTAAATGAAGCTACTTATGCTGATCTCATCTTCATCTTTCCATAGATCAATGACGGGATCATGATATTCTTTTGGCATATATACAGCTTGATGACAGACGATTCTAGATCTTTTCTTTTTTCAATATACAAATATGTATTTATGAAAGACGTTTGTCGAATATAGTTTTTGATATGAGGCTGTGAGAATGAAAATGGCAATATAGGAATAAACATTCTGAAGCGCATCAAGAAAAAAAAATTCGCAAAAGTGAATCATGAGTTCTGAATACGCAAAAGTGAACTATGAACCTCCTATGCTGCCCATGTAAATTCATGTTTCACTTTTGCATATTCAGAACTCATAATTCATTTTTGCGAAAAAATTTTCTTGATGCGTTTCAGAATGTTTATTCCTGTATTGCCATTTTCATTCTCACAGCCCCATATATTATTTTATAAAGAACCTTCCCCATTTTAAAAGTTTTTCTACACTATTTTTTACACACGGTCTCCACTTGCATTTAGTTTCCATTACATTAGATACACTTTGATCGTTGAAATCCAACGGAAGTCGAGAATAGTTGAAAGCTGCCGCTTATTCTTTCCTCTGTAACAATCGCAGCGCCATCTACATCAACATAAGAATTGTACATGAGGAATGTAGCTATGATACAGCGCTCAGAAAGAACTTAGCGGATGATTCCGATTTATCAGCACAGTAATTTCCATTTTTGCGCGCTGTCAATTGTATCGACGAATGTCGAGCATCAATGATTGCCGCGCTAATTTTACATTGAAGAATACAGATAAATTGGAATCTCGGAACATTTATTCCGATTTGTCATTCCGTTTGGTTTTAATGCCGATAAATCGGAATCATTATTCCCCTAAGTTCTCTCTGAGCGGTGACATTCAAAATCCGAAAATGATAGAATCGATAAACGTCTTTATTTTGTTTTATTAATTTGTGATTTTTTAACCTTTCCCACCAGAATAGAATGCGTGTATCCGATCAAATGCATTTCAATATTTTTGAGATTATTGCAAATGTATTTTCCAGGATCTTTAATCATTTTATGGGTTGTATTTTTCTCGTCTATTTTGCATTGAGCAGTTGTGATGATCCAGTGCTCATCAATGATTGATCCACCACACTTAGCACCAACAAAGCGACATTCATTGAAAACGCGTTCAAAACAAGAACAACAAGAACAGAAGCAGACCGTTTTTAAACCATTTTAGGGTGTTTCGAATCAGGCATTCAACGGAATTAAACCTAGGTTTTGCATCCATCCTTTTTCATCATTTTCTTGAAGCAAGATAAGAAACTTTTGCTATCGTTATCAAAATTTTCCCACTCAGATACAAGTAAATCACTTTCATCTTTTGAAAATTTTGCGCAGTGTTGAGAGAAACACGAAAAAAACTCGACACCATGGGTGTTGAATGTCATTCAATGCCACCAAGCTGTAGACATCTCTCTCCTATATGGCAAACAACAGAACCAAAACTAAACATGAAAATGACATGTTCAATTGTGTTTGTTTCGTTACTTTCAACTGTGCCGCTACGAGAGGTGTAAATTTTGTCGTTTCTTGTTGTTATTTTACATGTAAAATCAATCGTATTAGACGAGGATGCTCGACACAACTCTTCAAGACAAGGGATATATGTTTTTTTAATTTTAATAACCAATTTATCTCGTTCAAAATGAAGGAATAACAATTTTAAACAGATCATTTGGATCGTGAATGATTTTCAATGATTTATTTCTTTTAATAAATTCCAAATTCCATAGAAAATACAATCACTTTTATCAGTTTGTACTCTATATTGCAATGTTACTTAACGCTAAGATACACAAAAATGTGTATAATTTTTTAAAAAATATTCAACTAATTCTAGTACTTTATTTAATTTCATCTATAATATATATTGTTTTTGGTGTTGAACACCTTGAAGTCCAGAGCATTTAAATAAAATATTATTTAAATGTAATATTGGATTTGTAAAAAGTGAAAACATTTTGTTTTGTTCTGGATTGATTATTGTTAATTTTCTAATTGTTCAATGAGTTATTTACATCTGTTTGTCAATATCAAAGCACCAATTGTTGCTAGTCAGATCGTTATTCACAATGTGCTGCTAACATGAATGTGTTGATAGCAATCACTGTTTTCAAAAGTAATCGTCTGTTGGCATTCAGGGAAATACCGTATCGATGACTCGAACATGATTCGAATATCTCTTTGAAGTCTCGAGTGACTGGATTCTTTGGGATTATTTGAGTTAATAATGTTCACCAGTGTTGTTTTCCCTGTGGTAAAATCGATAGCTGTTTCATTGTCTCCGATTCGCAGGTTCATTCGATTGGCGTCAATCATTATATCGGAATAATAGTGTGCAAATGGAAATTGCTCTGGTGGCCAAACGGGCGGCGAATAATTCCGAAGCAAAACGATCAGTTCAAGTGGTTTCATTTGACTTAAGCATTTGATTTGATTTTCGACCTCACTCAAAAATTCGGTTTGTTTCACGCGAATCACGAAAACTTTTAGACGCTCGAGATTGGCCAGCAAATGGAGTGTCGGTTCGGAGTGAATGCCACATAGGTCGAAATTTTGCAGCATTTCCAAATATTCGAGATTTTTTGAATGTTGTGTCACAACATTGAACAATTCATCGTTAACATTAGTGAGTTTCAGGCGTTTTATTTGTGCATTTGACTGGATGAATCGTTCGAAAAATCGTTGACATGGTGGTTCCAATTCTGCCATATATTGGAATGTTTCGACACTCTTGAGCGTTGGCCAATGCAAATCGATAGCTACATGCTTGTTGAGGCATTTGAAAATGCGCTTCTTCAGAACCAACGTTTCCAAGTATGGGCACAGTTCATGCAATCTTTCAATTGTATCACAGTCAAATTCGGCATCCCATTCCAAAAATGTGATTTGTCGCAGAGCTGGAACAAATAATTTAAACAAACTATCGGATGGTTTTCGTCCTTGTGGCTTACGAAATGTCAATTTTTTCAGATTTTCGCTAATGTTCTGGAGAATTTTGTACGTTGCTCGCTCTTCATGCTCTGTCTCAAGGTAGTTTGCCGGTATGACACCATATTTTTGATACCGCAAGCACAAATGAACAAGGTGTGGCCCTATACACTTCATCGTTTGACGTAGCGAATTCAGTGAAGCGTGAAAAACAAATACCGTATACATTCGCACTTTTGAAAAATTGAATTGATCAAGCAAATTTCGAAATTTCGTACAGACGTTTGCCATTGTGACCAGAGCATCGAGATCGAGGTATCTAAAGATTTCCAGCAAACAATCGTCATTTAGCGATAACATTGAGCATTTTTCTGGATCGATTGTATTCCATATGGACAATGAATCGGGTTGGTGCCATGAGTCCGCCGGAACAATTTGTAGTAGTTTAGGTGCGGATATAATACCACTACGATTCGCCATAAACGCCTGAAATGCACTTTGACTCTTCTCATACAAAACGTACGCTTCGATTGTGCTCTCCGATTCATTTATAACTTCAATGTTTTCAATTGGGCCGTAGAGTCGCAGTCCACGTTTAATTTCATCCGTCGAAAATGCATCTTCATTCTGAAAGAAAATTTTCAATTGACTACCCAGTCGAAATGCATGAAATGAAAAAAATAATTTGTACTCACTTTTTTCATCCATTTGATGAAGAGTTTTCGGGCGATTACAAAATTGTTGGTATCATATTCGAAGTTGTTTTTGACAAATAACCAAGATTTGTCATTCCAAATGAAAAGACCCATCGTAAATGAAGTCAATGAACCTTGCAACAGCTGCTTGCACCGCGTATAGAATGCAGTTTAATATGGACGGTCTTGCCTAAAAACCCAAACTAACCGAATATCTATTGGAAATTTCACTGCTGTTGAATGAAACACTACCTTTGTTGTATTAAACTTGCAGACACAAAACAAAAAGCAATTTTTCACACCGAAATTTTCAATTTTAAACCAAAAATTTTTTTAATTTTGAACTTGATCTGATAGCTAGTAAACAATGATGCGACAGAGAGAAACGCGTGTGCTCGCACCGAATAGAACAAATAACTATTACGTGAATTCACGTTACAACGTGTTTTGATATGTGTGTTCGTGTGTGTGATGCTAGTGTATTCCCGAAAAACACGCGGGTTTTACAACTGCGCATGGAAGAAGCGTGTCAATATTGCGGAGTGAGTGTGGAAGCGAGACGGATAAAGTCAAAAAAAAATTATTTTGGATGTTGTTTACACACATAGAGAGAGGTAAATAATAATAGATGCTCAGAGGACTGTGTTGATGCTGCTTCAGAAAAGGGCAACTTTTCGATAAAAATATATACCAATCACCAATGTTTGATGTTCAAATGTGTTAAATGCGTGCGTAATGTTGAGAAACTTTACGGGAATAGAACTAGAGCTGCACACGGTCCGGAATCAAACAGTTCAAGTTATGCTTTTGAACGCTCTATGTGAGCGAATGGATTGAGTAACGGAAATTATTTTGGACAAAATTTGATAAAACAGGCGATAATACTGTAATGTAATAATTCATTTCAATCTAAAGATTTTTTCAAACAGCATTGCATGGATAACACAAAGTTCATATTTGTTGTATCATCCGCAATTCAAACGATTTGCATTAAATTATACATGTAAAAAAAATTCAAAGCAAACTTTCTCTTATATTTTAGAACAGCACTGCATGCAATACATTCAAACCTACATAGAAATTCTATGAAATTGGAAAAAAAAACTATACGAACCACAAGAAAAACTCAATCAACCAAACTACGAAATAATAATTTCTCGAATCTTAATTTATTTATGACTATTTTTCAAATTCCTTAGATATCTTTTTTTCCGCCGTTTTCATCTTTGATTTTTTTCTTCAACGTTGTGATGGTTTGTGTTGAAAAATCGGTTCGTCTTTTGGTCGGTGTAAAAGGTTTGAATCGTTCATCTTGGTCTGAGTACTTCTCAATGAACGCAGGCGTATTGTGGACCAATCGACAATGTCGCTGGGGAAAAATAAAATTGTTACAATGTGGCGCATAAATTGAAAGATAATAATTGATATGTTTTCGAACCTCAATCACATGCTTCCAGTTCGAAGTTTGGTGACAATAACCACATCGAAATAGAGAACTCTGCGCTGAAGCTTCATTTCTGAGAGATGGACAATAAGACGATGTGTCGTCGGTGGCATCAGACCAGCTTGACCAATCGATTTCATTACTGCAATTGAAAAACTGAATGAAAATGTTTTGCCACACGCAGAAAATGAAAAGAATATCACCGAAAACTACAGTTGATACAAAAAAAGTATTTAGTTTTATGTGATTTTTGCCATTCTGATGTTTCGGTCGAAGAAGAATTTTCGACTGCATCTTTGAATTGAGTGTCACAACTTTTCCGTTGTGGTTGAGAATCATCCAAAACCACCTCCAAAAAAGCGGTAGCATCGAAATCATGTCCCTCTTCAGATTGCTCTTCATCATCGGTATTATTGTTAACACCCTCATTTTCTTGTTTTAAGCCTTCGCTTTCATTTTCATTTTTAATCGAGCAAGACTCAAGTTCGGTTGATGCATTCGGTTCTTCTTTCACTTGCGCTATCTCACTCGTAATGGCTATGTTTTCACCTAACGTTATACCACTATGATGCGCGATTTCATGAGCGGTGATGCTTTGTTTGGTCGAAACGGTAAAATTGCATTTGTTACATCGGAATCCCAACGAAACGGTGTCAATGTGATGGCGCATGTGTCGTTCGAGATTCCATCGGTAGATGGTTTGAAATTCGCACATTTTGCATCGGATTTGATTCATCGAATGATAGCGATGGTGTCGATTATATCGATCTCGAATGTAGTGCGTGTAGTCACACTGATCGCATTCGTAAATCCTTACATCGGGGTGCTGAGTTCGAATGTGTTCCATCAGCACTGTTTTACTAACCGTGTACAGGCCACACAATTTACATGTTGACAAACGCGTATTTTTCCCCGTTTGAATCGGTTGAAAACCATCCGGAATTGCTTCGGCCGATTGATTGAAATTCGTATTCTTCGCTGATCCCACAATAATATCCTGTACGACATCCCGGTGAACTGTGCGCACATGCCTAGCCAACTTCTGTGAATGTTTCGAAGCGTACACACAAAAGCTGCAGCCATGAATGGAAATCGGTTCCTTGTGAAAATCTCTGCGATGCTCAAGGTATAAACGGGGATTTCGTGTCGTGCACTTGCAATCGACACAGAAATAATTTCGACTCATTCCGGACGATTTAGTTTCGAGTTGCTCTTGCTTCATCTCAACATCAACCAAGGAATCCTCGGCCATTTTCAGCACTTTAAAGTTTAAAGTCCGTGTTTACTCCCTCAAAAGTCAAATTATACTGATTAGAATTGCATGGCCTATAGCGATTTTCAAGTCGACAACGAATTGTCTGCATGCCTGCTGTGTTTGTGCACATTTTTTTCCCTCCTGAAACGACCCGGTTTTTGAAGAGCATTTCCTTTGAATGGAAACGATTGTAATGAAAAGAACACACACATTTGTTTTTATCCTCCGACTACTTTTTCTTTTTATTCAGAGCGTTTTAAAAAACAGTAAAGATATTTTCAAAAAAAGGTCAGAACATCACAAGAAAAAAATCAAATCTTCGAACCACTTTAACAATCTTCAGACTGTTTATTTATATATATATAATTGATCTAATCATTATTATTATTAATAAATGGAGACTAGACATCATTCTACATATACTGTGTGTTATTCACTAATTTTCAATATCTCATTCATATACTGGAAGTGTGTCATTTTTTTCATGTGCGGAGATTTACATCCGGCACTTTGAGCTCATCTTCTGTGATCGGTGGTGGTGCATTGATGTTTGAATCTTTTGGTACACTTTTACTTGACGCCCGCGTTTGATGGTCCCGTTTCGGTACATACACATTGCGGTTCGAATGATTCGATCGCTCTAACTCTTTCCGGAAGTATTCAATGGTTTTCTCTAGTCCAACTTTCAGTGGTACTCGAGGCTCCCAGTTCAGAAACTTTTTAGCGCGTGATATATCTGGTTTACGACGCTGGGGATCATCTTCGACAGCTGGCATCGTTTCAGTTTTACTAGTTTCACCGCCAACCAAGTCTCGGATTATCACCGCAAATTCTGTGGATAAAACATTTAAATAAGACTCCTTTGTGAAAATGAATTCTTCGAAAACTTGGATGAAACAAAAAGGAAATTCACATATATTCACCTTCAATTGTGTGTTCAACGGGATTGCCAATGTTAACTGGTTGCGTATAATTGGAACCCATCAAGGCGACCAGTCCGTCAATCAAATCGGATATGTATTGAAAAGACCGTGTTTGTTTTCCATTGCCATAAATCTGTTTCGAAAGACAAATGTAAAATATTTACTTTGTTTCACTTCAAAGTCTCTCTCTTCCTTTGCTCCTTTTTCACATACCGTAATGGATTGATTTTGTAGTGCTTGTAGTATAAAATTGGAAACGACTCGTCCATCGTTCATGTGCATCCTTGGTCCGTATGTGTTGAAAATTCGAGCCACACGAACGTTGACATTCTCCTGTTTGGCATAAGCATAGCTCAGAGTTTCCGAGACTCGTTTTCCCTCATCGTAACAAGCACGTGGGCCAATTGGATTTACATGGCCCCAGTATGACTCGGGTTGCGGATGAACTGTTGGATCACCATAGACTTCCGATGTGCTGGCAATCAACACCTTGGCTCCAACACGTTTCGCTAGGCCAAGCACATTTATCGTGCCAACGGTATTCGTTTTGATCGTTTTCACGGGATTGTACATGTAATGAGGTGGGGAAGCTGGACTGGCTAAATGATAAATTTCGTCGACTTCGATGAATAACGGATTCACAATGTCATGATGGATGAGTTCGAAATTTTCGTGACCGAGCCAGTGTTCCACATTTCGTTTACGTCCAGTGAAAAAGTTATCAGCCACAATAATTTCATGACCTTGCATCATCAGGCGATCCACCAAATGTGAACCAACAAAACCAGCACCGCCCGTTATCTGTTTTGTATGTGATTTCAATTCAAATTACATTTATCATTAAGAAAAAGTCAATAAAACGTATCAAACTTACCAAAATTCGTTTACGATTTTTATAATTGAGAAACAAAACGTCTGGGTATTTCTTTGCGACACGATTTTCCAACGATTGAATCTTCATTTCAAGCTGTCGAATCTTCAATTCAAGCTGTTGACGAGCATCATTCAATTCATTGTAGCTGGATGCGAGCTCACCGTCAACAACATCATCATTGTTGGCGTGAAAACTTTTTAAAGCGGCTCTTTGCTGCTTACTTGATAATAAGGATGAGTATTTGTTTGAATCAAAACTATAAATAAGCTCCTCACTCACCAACGACTTGTATAAACAAAAAACTGGAATTGAACAAGAGAAAAAAATTAACGATAACAATAGCAATTATAATGTCTCAATATACTGCATATCAATCGAATGAATTGTGAGGTTATGTGTTGGCTGTGTTTATTTTTGGGCATTCCATGAAAGCGATAACGCGAATCGCGTTACGCGATAAAATTTATATAAATGAATGAAATTGACGTCGTCGTCGTCATCGCAATGCATCACCAATCAACAATCAAATTGACTTTGAAAGGTAACAAATTGTAAAGATAACACAAGTTGAACTCACCTAAAATAATGATTATGCCAAAAATAAGAAAATGTTTCATTTTGCGCTTCGAAAAGATAACCTTCATGCTAGAGAAAATAATTGCAAAATTGAATAGCATCACAACGCGGTGCAGACTCCAATATACAGTGTTTAATCACAATTTCTTTTATTATTGTTCTTGTCGATTTATTTTTCTTCAAATTTCTAATTGAAAAAGTTTATGCCATCGCTGGCAAACGCCATCGTTTGTTTCGTTCACTAATTTCTGGTTTCGAATTTTTGTTCTTTACCTACTTGGACATTTTGTAATGTGTAAGCAGAATAAACTAAATTAAACTGAATTTTTGCTATTCACAACGTTAATAGGTGCTAAGTGTTGTTCTTTGTTTTTGGATCTATCCAGTTTTGACCGCCCGTCCAGTTCATTATACACATAATAAATTATCATCAATGTAAAGCTGAATGAAACAACAACAAATTGGATTGAATTTATCGTGCAGCAAATCGAAGGGAAAAAAGAAAACAAAAATCAAATGAAAGTCACCGAGTCGAACGAACTCAAGTCACTACAAGAGTCAAAGCGATGAAAATGTTTGTTTTCCTTTTCGACGTAATAAAAACACACACTGCGCGAAATCTCACCGTATGAGAGAGCCCAATAACATGTCAGTTTGATTTTTACGAAACGTCATTGCCACGCATTGAGAGCTGAAATGTTGACAACCACAGCAACTTCATTGGAAATTGAAATCTCAACGAAAGTCATACGCATACAAACATTTGCACACTCGCACACACAAACGAACAAACGATTAGTACATGTAAACAAAGCGACTTACGTTTGGTTGTCTGTATTTTTGGTATTGCTGATTGCTTTTGTTGTGGTTTTTTTTTGTTGATTTGCTATATTTAAATACGTAAAAGTGTGTGATTGCAAAAAATATTTTCTTTGCGGTCAGCTGAGCTAACGCAAAATCAGTCTAATTACGCGACAAATAGTTATGACTTTTGATTGAGTTATTTCTGCCACACGACCTAATGTGCATTGTATACAAGGGCAATCCATAGATTTGATCTTCGACCTCCAAGCGATAATGTGCATTTTCTGCTCAAGACTAATTGCAGTTAAATGTGTTATTTGTTGTTGCTGCTTGCATGACACACCAGTTTTTTCTCTCTGAGTAAATCACATCGATAAGCTGTCAAACATGCCAACCGTGTGTGGTTGTTGATATTACGCTCGAATTCGACAATAGCTCCAGGAGAGACAGCAAAATATATTTCATAACAAATATTCAATTGTTGCGCATTAAGTCAAAGTGACGCGAAATTATCGCAAAGTTTTTTTTGTTGGTTTGTTTGTTTCGTGTGTGGTGCTTTTATCAATCCATATAATAATAATAAAATTTGAATAGTCAAATAGGGGCTTGGTTTTCTACGACAAATAAAATGGCTGACATCAACTATTGGTACTTTGCTATACCGGTTGCAAGTGTGGCTGTGATTTACCTTATTCGGCGGATTCGTGTTTGGCAGTGGGGTCGCATTCGCAATCGTTATTCATTGGCCGGCAAAACGTACATTGTCACTGGAGCCAACACAGGGATAGGTTTTGAAACAACTAAAGCTTTGGTGAATCGTGATGCAACGGTTATTATGGCGTGTCGCAGTATCGAACGAGCAGATAAGGCGATTGGAGCCATTCGGAAGCATACGATCAAGGGTACATTATTTATTTTTTATTTATTATTTATTTATTTATTTATTTATTTATTTATTATTTATTGAAAAGGCACGATGATTGCATGCCATTTGGATTTGGCTACGTTCGAATCGATTGTTGACTTTGTGCAGAACATCAAAGAAAACTACCCGAACTTTAATTGCTTGATCAACAATGCCGGACTGGCAACGCCGGACAGCAAACAAACGACAGCTGATGGTATCGAATTGCACTTTGGTACAAATCACTTGGGTCATTTCTTATTGACAAAATTGCTCCAAGATCAAATTCAAGCCAATCGAGCTCGCGTTGTGGTTGTTTCATCGTTACTCCATCAAAGAGGCCGCATCGATTTCGCAACACTCGGGAAATGCGTCGAACCACAGGGAGTTATTTCCAAAGCCAACAATTTGCTCTACAACAGTTCAAAGTTAGCCAATTTTTATCACGCTCGTGAACTGTACAAGCGTGGATTTGATGCCCATGTTCTGTGCCCTGGTTTGTGCCATACCGATTTCTTCAGAGACTACAACCCACGCTGGTACCATTACATTATGTTCGCTCCAGTTGTCTGGCTACTGCTTCGTTCGGCCGAACAGGGTTCGGAAAATGTCGTCTTTTGCGCTACAGACAATGTGAATACCGATGAGAAAAATCCAGCCACCGGCTATTTCGTTCGCAATTTGAAGCAAACCAAATCGAAAACACAATTTGACGACAAAATTGGCACACGTCTCTGGACCGAAAGTGAGAAATTCTGCTCAACCATTTTGCTACGTGAAATGGGCAAAATCGAATGAGTCAGAATCGATGATAAACCAAACAAGGAATTTGTTCGAATCATAAATAAATTGCCAGAATAACAAGAATATAGCCGATGACATCTCTAAACCAACTCAGTGAATCATTGAATATTTCGAGCAATTTTTTTACACCGTATGTGACTTGACTGATATAATCAACTTTACAGCTGTTAGTGTCGCCGTAAAGTTGATTATATTCGACGATACACACGATTGAAACAAGTTGCTCGAAATATGCAATGATTCAATGAGTTGGTTTAGAGATGGCATTGACTATAATGTGGCAGAAGACTTACATTTAAAATGTATTGTGGCAATCTCTTTATGGTTCGAATGCGACAAATCAATTCTGGATAATGCAAAAACAACTAATTTTTTCTATTGATTTTTTTTATTCACATCATATTTTACACTTTATATTTCATATTAGGAGAGGTGTTCACTTTTTTAAAAACTTGTATTTCAAAATAAAATTCTCAGAAAACACTCTTTTTTAGTAGTAATGAAAAATAAATCATTTTATCCACAATTTCAATCTGTTTTTCGTTACAATAGTACTGAGTCCACTACATTTGAGCATTCTTCGTTTTTTCTTCTTTTTTATACTAGAATGAGATTCGGATCGCGTTTGACTTCGAATTTAAGTAATTTGGCGTATTTACGCAGCAGCTTCCGCCAGTAGCAATGAATATCTTTCATCTTCAGATGTTCCCAAATTTGATTTCTGCCCCTTTCTGCAATATCCTTGGCTAGATGATCGTGCTCTTTGAAAAACTCCAACAATTTCCGCAATTCTTCGGCACTTGGATTTTTCGATACTGGCACATAATGAACCCATGGCTTTAGCGAGTCGTAGAAAAACTCTTGCCATTCATCACCAACGTGAAATACTAATGATTTACAGAGGAACAAATGCTTAAATCTAAAACTAGCTGCAACTCCCCGAAAATTAAAGAGGTATTTATATTGGCAGTGATCTTCCAAGGAGATCTCCTTGGCTGGTTCTGCGTTGAGTGTGTCTTTTGGTGATTTCCACGCTTGATTTTTTGTATACTGAGCTTCGACGAGATCGGGGTCTTCTCTTGAGAGTAACACTAATGGATCGCGTTCAGAGGAGGTTCGTGAGCCACGGAAAAATCCAACCGAATTCTTCTCGGACCATGGCCATGCGTGTGACGCATCATTGATCGATTTTCGATGTTGATCCCATCGACCTAAGCCCGTTGGATAGAGTGAAATCGCAGGACCGCCTGCCCAAAAACTCCACGCCGGATACATAATATCATAATAATCATTGGTTCGACTGAACGAAAATATTGGACCAAATTTATGCTGAAATTTGAATGAAAATTCAATTGATAAATTAACTTTAGATCTCATCGCAGATAAGAAAATGGAAATTTTTCAATTACATGGTGAATATTGATTTGTGGCCAATCCCGGCAATTCACAATCATCTCCAGATCGGGAATTTTCTGAATATTTGCTTTCAGAAAATATTCAATACCCGCACAACGCGATGGAAACAAACAACTAGGATCACGATAGATGTGCTTGTCAATAATTTGATATTTGGTGCCCAATTGCCGTACATCGTCCAACATCTTTTCGGTAATTCCATTTCGAAATGGATGCAACGACTTGGTGATGGTTCCCGCATGACAACCGCAATTTTTCTCTTCACACGGTTCATACTCGGCGAGCGCTTGATTGATTTTCGATATGAACTCATTTGTTTCTAAATGGAAATTTAAGACGCGTCATAATTTGAAGAAAAAAAGATTGTGGTTATCTCCGTATATGTGTACTCTACTCACCTTTGCTGTACAAATTCACACCGCCATGTGAATCGTTAGTCTCAGTTGTTTTCACACAGGTGTTACCACCATCTGAACAACTATTCTCTTCCGATGAAATAGCATTGACAAGGAACAAATAAATGCCGACTGTTTCAAGAATTGTTTTCATGGTAATCCTTTGATGAGCATCGGAATTCGGTCGCAGGTAACAAGTGGGATGTTGCGCGTTCTTTTTGATGTCACACAAACGAGTGTAAACAATTTCCAATATTCGTACAGATGTGACGTTTCACACACGCACACACACTGGAATCATTTGTTGAGTCATAGCTACAACTGAACGAAACATATAAAAACCAACGAAACAAAATATATGCGACAACCTCATGCAATTTCGTGTAGAATAGATTTTATTTCAATAAATTTCCAGTGTCTTAATGCTATATATATAGGTGGTTTTATAAGCAACAACTTATTTTAGTCATCATCCAAATCACTACCATTGGTGGTCTGTCGCTTTGTTTGACTTTCTTCTGAAAGGAAAATTGTGAAAAAAAAAGATTTTCATTCTTCTTATGCTCACTTTAGTTGATATTTTTCCATTTCGTAAAAGATTTCTTTTTTTCCCATTTTTAACAATTATTATTACCTTCATCGTTGTGCTTTCGTTTGCTGTGTGAGATGACAACGCCGCCGGGTTTGTTTTGCTTTTTGTCTTCTTCCACCAATGTGGTTAGGAACTCATTGGACGAATCTTTTGTTTTTTGCAGAGCGTTCAACAGACCAGACACATCCTTTTCATCGGCTGTCACGTCTTCAGTGAATGTCTTGACTTTATTACCATTTTGTGTTACACTCAATTCCAATTTCGCAAATGTTCGACTCATTTTTGTTTCTACTTTAAGCTTACAACTTTCTATTTCAGTCTTGGTGTTGAACAGCTTTGCTTTAACATCCAAACAACGTGAACCAAATGTCAAAACTGAACGAAACATTCCCATGCACAGCCAGCGACCAAATGTCAGAATTTGACATTTCCATCTAACGCTTCTACATTGAAAGAATTTCTTTGTTGTAATTCACATAAGAGCCGTGTAATTTATACCAATCCATGTGAATATATATTTTTTAGTGCAATTTGTGAGTGAGAGAAGAAAAAAAATTATGTCATCTAATGCGTTGACAGACGAACAGCCAGTGGAAGTGATAAAGAAATTCAAATTTTCGACCAAAGGCGAAAAAGAGGAAATTGAAATTGCAATACCTGAGGTAAGCATTCACAATAATGAATACTCAATAGCAATTTAGCATCGAAAACAAAAATGGTGTTTGGAAACGATGCGATTGTACGAAATGCGTAAGCCCGGAAGCCAGACAAGCTAACCAACAAATTTTTCTTTTGCTTTTCCATCATAGCTTATGCAGCCAGGTTATTCGTTTTACAGTTGGACATCTTCTTCGGTACTTGCTTGGTAACAAAAAAAATTAAATATCTAAAAAGAAGTATTTTAATAATATTTTCTTCTTGATTGGAAATGCGTAGGTTTTTGTGGGTGCAGCGTGAGAAGTTTATCGGTAAGCGGATACTTGAAATTGGATGTGGAACGGCGTTACCAGGCATTTTGGCCGCAAAATTTGGTGCTAAAGTCATTTTGAGCGATAGTTGTACGTTACCGAATACATTGAAACACGTGAATCGATGCTGTAAAAAAAATAACTTGGAACCGGGAAGAGATATCGATGTGATCGGACTGACGTGGGGCATTCTATTGAAATCCGTTTTTGATATTGGACCCATCGACTATATTATTGCTTCCGATTGTTTTTACGATCCAAGCGTTTTTGAAGATATTCTAGTGACGGTGTCATTTCTACTCAATACACCCACTTGTGATACATCGCCCGTAAAATTTCTATTCACCTTCCAGAATCGGTCGGAAGATTGGTGTATCGACCATTTGTTGCAGAAGTGGCATTTAAAGTGTTCCAAAGTGAGTTTGGCGTGCGTACGAAAACTCTGTCCGATCGATTTCAACACACTGATAAAGGGCCACACAATACACTTACTAGAAATAACGAAATTGCCATAATAGTTGTAAGAGATTAATCTAATTTTAAGTAGTTTATAATAATGAATGCTGGATTCAAGATGATGCTACGGCGGCTGAACCAAATTCGAATGTTCAACACCGTGACAGAGAAGGATGGCGATTCTTTGACATTATTTGTTGCCAATCTTCCATGGACCGTTAGCAAACGAGAGTTGCAAAACTATTTTACACAATTTGGACCCGTTTCAAGTGCAGACGTTGTTTTCAATGAAAAAACCGGACTATCGAGAGGCTTCGGATATGTGACTTATTCATTCACCAAGTCATATGTGAAGGCATTGCAAGTGAAAAATCACATGCTCGAAGGAAAACTACTTGAAGTCGATCAAGCCAAGTACAGTAAAAAACAAAGCAATTACTACAATGATGTGTAAACCCTTTTGATGGCATGGTTAAGCCTGTTTTTAGTTAAAAGATGTATACATTTTCTATGGAAAATATCATGAAATCTTCTCAACATTATTGCTAAATAAAACACTATTTTTTTCAAGTGTATGTGTTATTTTCTTCTTTCTTTGTTGTTCTTGTGGAAATATCTTGCGGTGGGTTGAAAATACAAGCAGTTGGTTGCATTTCTTCAGTCAAATAATCTTCCGGGGCCATGGCTATACTTCTTTCAATAAACTAAGAGACCAATGTCGTTATATTAAACACTTTGAACGACAAACACACAATTCATTCATGTCATTTTTCAATGACATCATTTATATTTTTCAATTAAAACAATGGTCACTAGATCTTTTGAAATAACATTAATCTTTGAATTTTGGCAGGCCAAACAATTCTGGTTTAAATTGTTCCAAAGACTCCAATACGATGGTTGCTTCATTTTGTTGTTCCGGTGTTACTAGTTTTGGATCTGGTACTACCATCACAGCTTGCATTCCTGCCGATATGCCTACGAAAATACACACAAAATGAATAAATAAAAATGAAAAAGGAAAAAGAACGACGATAGTCTCCCGTACATTTGAAACATCATTTTGACGTCTCCATTTCCACCATATAGATTTGCATTTGAAACTTCAAGTCTCAATGCAAAAATAGACGGAGAGAGTGGAGACGCCAAAATGATATAAAAACTATTTTCCTCCTTTATAAAAAAAGGTGTATATACCGGCTCGCACTCCGTTTGGAGAGTCTTCGAAGACCAAACATTTGCTTGGATGTGGTTTGTCTTTGAAACGGCTAGCCGCAACGAGGAAAATATCTGGTGCTGGTTTACCATGTTTGACTTCTCGATCCGTAGAACCCATTACCTTGTGCAAAAACAAGTCGAACAATTCGGGATAGTTCGACATTTCTAACGCCGCCATTTCTTGACCCGAGCTCGTCGCCAAGCAAAACGGCACTTGGATTACCAGAAAAATCAACTTTCAAGTTTGGATTTGCTCTGAATCCTATAAATACAAAATCGTTTACCTTGTGTTTCGTGCAAATGACGAATAAGTCGTTCAGCGCCTTTCATTAAATCTATTTCGGTGAATTTTGTTCGTACATAATCACCTTGTATCTTCAGAAACTCAGCGACCGAAATGGGCAATGCCACATCTTCGATGACAATTTGAGCGGAACGAGCCGCTTGTGTGCCCATCACTTTCATTCTTACATCCCATGGATAATCTTTTCCAAATGAACGACAAATTTCACGCACCGAATCTTCATAAATATACTCGGTGTCCAATAGCAAACCGTCCATATCAAAGAGGCAGTGTGTTACAGGTTTAAATAATGGACGCGACGATGATTTTCTCACCGCAATATCAACTATTAAATTGCACTTTGGGGCAGCTAGTATTGATCGTATGATTCGATACATTTTGATTATGACAGTTGCTATTTACGTTGCTAGAAATTTATGTAACTTCAACGATTCAGATTAGAACACGTGTGTTTGCATACCGATACACGCGAAAAAAATTAAATGATTTTTTTATATTTATATAAACAAACCTCTGACAGCTCAAATGTCACATGTGACAGTCATGATTGGCACTGTAAAAGACTCAACAAATTGCATTGTTCAAAGTTGGTATCAAATTCAGCAATTCAAATGAAACTCGCACGAATGAAAATTTCAACATTCATTTCTAAATAATATCATTCGCTGGCGAACAAAGGATATTGTTGTATTTATCATTTTTTTGATTTCGCATCAAATTTATTCATATCTCAAACAATTGTTATGGAAAACAGAGAAAAAAACAGATCGGGATAACCGCTGATTTTCAACTCGGTCGCTTCTTTTCCACCACTGGTGGCCACACAAAATTTAATGTTATTTTCATGAAAATGACGTATGAGCCGTTCAACGCCCTTCATCAATTTAACACGCTTAAATTCCTCTCGCACCAATTCACCTAGCTCCGCAAAAAATTCGGGCACTGTCAATGGTAGAGACGGTTCTTTAATGCAAACGGCTGCAGTGTTTTGCTCTGTTGTTCCCATCACTTTCATTCGTACATCATTGCTTTTCTCTTTTTCGTATCTCTTTTGGGCTTTCTCCAAGTAACTAAACACCAAATTGATTGCTGTCGATGTGAATACTCGTACTGACGCAGTTCAACTGAATTACTATTACAGTGGTGTTGACTATTTCTAATACGATGTTGGTTTTTTAGTTGGCTGTTTTGACGTCAACAATTTATGTAATAAAATCGAAATGAATAAAAACAAATGAGTGATGCAATATCTCATTCAAAGATCGCAATTTTACTGATAAAGCCTCAGAGAATTTTTTTTGGCCAAACAAGTTTTTGGATTTGTATTCACAGATATTGTATTTACCTATGCTGATAGTGGCGTGGAAAGCAAGCGACAAACATATGAGCGTTGTCGTTGTATGATTTGTTTTTGCAAACAAAACGTTTACAATTTTGACATTTCGAACGAGTCATCAATTCATGAACAAAGCGCATCTGCAAGCATAGTATTCTGTTTGAATCCGTCAATACAAAAATGAAACACATTCAAAAGTTTATTTTTCAAAGTTTTTTTTATTGCTTTTTTCAAATTTTCCTGCAATTTTTTGCAATAATTTTTTCTTCATTTTCATTATCATTATCTCTCTCTCTCTCTCGCTCTCTCGCTCTCTAGCACATTTTTTTTATAGTTGTTATTTAATCATTAAAAAATTTAAATTAAATTAAATTTTATACATTAAAAACAAAGGAACTATATATGTCAGTCTTTTAATCGGGTAGAGAAAACATTATTATCATTAATCATCGCATCCGTATAAAACAGTGTTTTTTCTTTTTTTGTGTGTAATGTAATCATATAAATTCTAACCAATATGATTCACATTACATTAGTTACTAGTACAAGATCGTCAATCGCAAATAAAATTTCATTTTTTAAAAAATGTGGCAAAATGTCGCAAATCAAAAAACGATTTGCTACTATTTGTAATAAAAAAATGTCGTTTGGATTATATCCAATATGTGTATGTGTTTTTGTGTATGGAAAAATACACTATAAATAAGCTATTTATTGTTTGTTTGTTCCATTCGGTTTCAATATTGAAAACGAATGGAATGTCGTTGATATACAAAAAAAAACATGTAACGGTATGATTAGCGGCTAATTAAATCTACTGCGGTTTGCCATTGTCAAGCTTGTACTAATATACAATTGCATATCATCCAAACGAATACTTTGTAATAATTCAAATGCTTTCTCGTGTTATAAAAAAATGCTTGTTGTGGTTTCATTTTGCGGCGACCATGCAATACAGCCGTTCGCCTAATTCGTGCGCGAATTTCCGTTGTCAATGTCGGAAAGTGTTCGGGAAAACCAGCAATATTGCATCGTGGCCGACGCCAAAACGGTTTAACAACTATTTCCTATTTTAATATAGGCTGTAGAATTTCTTTTCAATTTTACTATATATTCGTCTATTACAATTTGTGTGTATGTGTATGTGTATGTGATTTTGTTTGAACATTATCGCGAGTCATAATTTCGTATTTTTGCTTGTGTATAAATAAAACTAATTGAAGTGTTTTGAGGGGAGAGGAAATTTATCCTTTGCGAATTTGTGTATTGTTTGACTTTTGAATCGTAATTTTTATTCCGTTCAACCCATTTTTAATTACTGTTGGTGGTGGTGCGTATTTTATCTTTTGCACTGTGGTCAATTCGAATACCAAACATTATAAATGAATCGATGAAACAAAAAGACACTTTTTTAAAATGCTGTTTAAAAAAGTGAAATGTGAAGATAAAAAAGAAAAGGGTAAACTTGGTCCAAGAAGAAAAATTGGGACACAATCAGTTTCCAATTAAAAATACTACATCATTCATGTGGCGATTTTATCTGAAATCTGTTTATGTTTCCATAGATTTTTGGTCTTGTTGCTCTCTTTATCTATCACACAAGTTCACATGTTTCTTTTTCACATGCAATTTTCAAAAGCAATCTCTTTTTCTCACCAAAATGAACATTTAATATATAGTTATTTTGTTTTCCTGTCTTTTTTTACACATTTCCTGTATGCTCTTCGAAAAAGCTTTCATTACATCTATATTAGCGTTTTCAATCTTCGTTATTTCCTTCATTTTTTCGATGTTATTCTCATTTATTTGATCAGAAAATTCGAAATCTGAATGTTACGTAATAGGTTGCAAAAACAGTAAATATTATTATTAAAGAGTCATAAAAAAATTACAATTATTCTATTGGGATTGATTTCTTTTCTCTCACATTCTTTCTTCATCCATTCGTCATTCTTAGTTTTGAATAGGTACTTTTTACAAAACTGATACAAACTTACACCTAACTGACTCTAAGGTTTTTCTTCTTCTTTCTTCAACTTATTTTAAACAATTTTTTTTTCATTCGATTTCTTTTAAGATTTTTGCTTAACAAATCTTTTCATATTCTTCAATATTCTTCATTTCCTTATGCTATGCGATTCTATTTGTTTTTTTTAATTTGTTTTCGACTTTATTTATGTATTAAATTTACAGAAAAAAAAATTTCTCGCCGAACTCGGCGTAACAGTACAAAAAAAAAACAATGAGAAATTTTCAAATACGCTCGTTGAACATTTGTTTTTTTCTTTTACTTCTTCTTCTTCAACGACTTTTTATTTTATTTATAACCTCTTCCTCGCATGTTTTTTCCACCAGTCATTTCTTTTGTTGACTCGATGAAATAGTTTTTTTTGTTTTTCAATTTTCTATAAAAAATATTGTTCTTTTTGGTTGATTATTTTTTTTTAACTTATTTCATTTTTTGTTAATTTTCATAACATATTCGTAGCATTTGTTTGATGAAATTTCGAACAATGAAAGCAATGATACATACATTTTTTTCTGTTTGTTTTTCAAATGTGTTTTTGGACCAAAAAATGTATAATAGCTTGGCCCAACAAACACAATGTAAAGCCGCGTTTTTTTAGTAGAGGAAACGCATACCAAATTTCAAAAAATTGGTTCAAATCTTTCCTTCTTCTTTTTGTTACACTAATTTCTATTTGTATGTTTTGTGAATTCGTTTGTGTTTTGTTAAAAAAAATGTCGTTGTGTAATTATTTTGAATGTTAGTGTTTGCATTGTATTTGTGTGAGTGTGTTTATTTGTTTTGTATGTGTGTGTGTGTGTGAGAGAGAGTTCGAATCTTCCGTTCGCTAATAGTAATCTGAACAAACCATTTGATTTCGTGTGTGTTTCGAAAATGTGTGTATATTTTGCACTCTAGCTGAAAATGTTCACTCTTATTTAGAATACACATAGCTAATGTTATTCTAGTTGCTAAATCCGATTACAATGGCAATTTTTCCTACTGAACACATTAGTTTTGGAAACCGTTTCACAATTCGCCACATTTTTCTCCATCTTCGTCTCTCAAATCATTTATTGATATTTATTCATTTCAAATTTTTTTTTTCATAAAACTTTTCCTTTATTAGGAATTGACCAAAATTGTCTTTGAAAAAATTCCACACTCCATAATTTTGACGCATCTCACTGAAAACAATAAATGCTGAAAATTTCGTTAGTTTTTTGTTCTTCTTCATCGCTTCAATTTTTCTGTTTTCATTTGTTAAAATTAGAAAAAAGAGTTAGTTAAATCAAATTCAACGATCGGTGGGGTAACGTATGATTAAATATTAATCAATAGACTGAGTGCTGGGGTGGATCAATTTTTGAAATATATGAATTTCGACAATGATATGACCATATGGTATATCCCGGGTATTGTCAATATGTTTTCAAAAATCGATCCACGAATGCGATTAGATTAGAGCCAACGGAAAGTCAAGAAATGAAATCTGAACTAATATCCTACGAGAAAATGACGAACTTCTGCTTTTTGCGCTTGCTATTTTGAACGCAATGACAAATTTGAAAAGAACAAATATTTTCAAGGAGATTTGACGATAAAATATCAAATGGTTTTCCTTTCAAATGTAAGATTGATTTGCGGTTTGATTGGAACAACGTGTCATGATACAGTGTTATTTTGTGTGTTTTCTTCCTGCAAGCTCTCTTTCTTTCCCAAATTCAATCGATAGATGAATGATCTTGGCTTAAAGTTCAATTTCTTCTACCAGAACATTTTCGAAACACATCAAATGAAATTTGTTTCAGCGTCGTGCACTGATTTCCCAAAATTTTAATTCAATTATTTGGACAAATGGCATATTTTTCCTTTCGTTTTTTGCTATCATATGTCATATTTTTTGTAGGCTTCCTTTTTTCTGCTTGACGTCACAACAAAGTTTAACGAAAATTGTAACAGTGCAAACAATAACATCGAAACATTCCGACCTGTAAATCTATTGACTCACTTTTCGTTGGTGTATGTTTTTTGACTACCGCTTTCATTCATTGAACTTAATGTATAATATATTAGTGCCAAAGCGTTCGTGAATATAAATGTTTAGTATGTTTACGTTCAAGATGGAACACAAAACCGAATATTACAATGTATTTTTGTTGTCTCTCCTTTGATTCACATTCAAATGCTAGATTCACCATATTTTCCACTTCGATTTGGAATTGAATTACATTTGCCCGTTTGTCTCTAAGTCCATTTTCGATTTCTCTCATTCTCGGTTGTTTTTCTTCTCTTTTGGCAATCAATATTTTGAACAAACAAAGAAAATGAATGTCACGCTTCATCATTTGAATAAAAAAAAATAGATTTTCTGTTTGTCAACCTCTGATTGATCTGGCGGCATGTCACACATACATGCTTGGTTTTCAGTCAATGACAGATAGCTGAGGATGTATGCTGAGCATAGAAACTCAGCAAGCTGAGATTGGATATTTTGACTTTGTGACGTGCTATTCAAACAAATTTATGATGGAGGGGAGTTTGAAACACATTTTCCATTACACTCCATCAACACTCCACCAAAATTCCACATAAATTTGCACGAATAGCAAGTCACAAAATCCAAACGTCCCAATCTCAGCTTGCTGAGTTCCTATGCTCAGCATATATCCTCAGCTATCTAACATTGACTGATGGTTTTACGCATCTTTTCCACCTTTTTTTTCAACTATGAGCATGTATTTATAATTTAATGTTCTAGTTACGGCGAAGAATTTGACCTATCGTTCCTCTCACTCACTCTCGCTCTTTTCTAAACGAATTTTGGCTACAGTATAATTTTTCATATAATATTGATTGTGTATAAATGTATCTTACAATATGCAATAGATGCGTATATAAATGTATAAAAAAAGAACCGCCGCGAAAAACATCAACGATAATGACGACGATGATGACAGAATCTCTACTTATTACTGTAAACTCATCCATTTTCGACTATAGACAATGTTTATTTTTGTAAGCGGTAAATTGATTTACACGATTCTAAAATTACACCAAACTCATTTGTGTTTGTGTTTTATTTTTTGTCAAATGGCGAAACGAAAACGAAAAAAAAAAATCGAAAACTGAGCTATTCAAAAAAATAAAAAAAAATAAGTTAATCATTCAAAGAAATAAAATTAAAACAAGCATCGATAGAACAATGATACAGATAACTCAAGAAAATACGATATAAAGACGACGACGCCGCCGCCGATGACGGTTACAAATAAAAAAAGACACGAGTGTTTGAAACGATATTGAGAAATCAAAGTGAAACGACACGTGACATAACTAAAATTGTGTTGTGTGTTTTAGTTTTAATTATGCTCCATAAATAAATGCAACATTATAACATGCTAACTTAATATCCGGTTCTTTTAAAAGAAATTGGCCTTGATTGATTTCCATTCTGTGAAAATTGATAAAAATAAGCAGTTCTCATTGCAAAAAAAAAATAATGATACGGGAATTTTTGCTCGAGTGAATCTGATAAAAACTATTTTGAATCAAAGTTTTCTACTTCCAACATTTCATTCATTCGAATGTGTTAATTTGTAGGAAGCAATGAAAGATCAACACTCTTCAAATCGTAGATTTTGCTCGATGTTTTACAACAATTATTATCTCTTAGTATATAGATTTTCTTCTTTTTGTTCTTCTTCTCGATCATCTACTTGTTCTTTAAAATAGTTACTATTTCCCATCGAATAGAAGTGTTTTTTTTGTCTCTCTCCGGATTTTACTCTACACAAATTTTCGTTTTTGCTTCTTTTTCATACGCTTTCGTTTGGTCTATCTTGGTTGAACCTCGATACATGCTTTAGATATGGGCATTTCTTAAATAGATAATATTCTTCGCTGTCAATAGTAGAAAGTGTGTCTTCTTTGAAAATTTTAAAGTGATTCATTTCGATTCGCAATTTCATTTCTCTTCCCTTTTATGCGTCAATTTCTGCTCTTTGCTTTTGTTTAGGTACCTCATACTAAAATTATTCCCGCTTACATATGCTTATGATAGGACTGATAGTTAACAATGTTAGATAAAGTGTGGTTCTCTCTCTTTTTTTTCGTGTTTTGGGATCGCGCTCAAATTCGCATGTACATGGTAGAATGATTTGAACAAAGAAATAATAATAATAAGAATAATAATTAATAAAAAGACAGAAAAAAAAAGAAATATCGATAACGTAAAGCTAGTTTAGATGAACGCATGGTTTTTAGCTGAGTGAATTTAATAATTTATAGGCTTTGGCATCACCAGTACTAGTATTGCAATAATCATTATTTGATTTGTCACCTGTGTTGTTGGCATTTGCACTGTCGCCGAATGTCATGCGGGCCAACTGATTGAAATTTGACTTAATACCGTTGCGACCAAATAAATTTGTGCTATTGTTGGGGGGCATTAGAATGGCCGTCGATTCGCTACTACTGTCGGGCTGCGGATGTAGTTGTTGCTGTTGTGGTTCCGAATCATTGCAATGTATTGTACGCGACGCAAGGGCACTTGCTGAGTTGGTGGCGGGCTTATTTGATGGTAGTAATGTATTGAAGAATGACAATGATGTTGATGGTTGATGTTGTGATGCTTTTGACAGCAATGGCAATTTGAATTGATGTGACGAATTTTTTGGAACTGCTTTACTTATATCTGGTATTGTACTGCTTTTTTCGGCTCTACAAATTCAATGGGAATAAAAAACAAAGCACATTTTTGTTGATCGTTTTTGGCATCGGTCCACCAGAGCCCCAGCTTTGCACACTTAGGTTTTAAATAATTAATGTTGTCAGACGAATGCATGAGAAATGCGCGAATCGAATTCTTCTTCTTGGAAAATTCACACACAAAACCAATTACGGTCAAATTCAAGAGGAACGGTTTGGACGCGTGCTTTTCTCTTGCATTCGAATCTCTTTCTTAATGGTATCATATGCCAAGAGATATAAAATCAACCAAATTGGAACGAAACAATGAGTTTTTCTAATTTTGACCATCTTAATAGATTCAATGTGCTTAATTTAGCTCAATAGCATATTGTCTGATAAGAGTACGTTACATGGTGTGCTGTTCACTATTTGGTATCATTTTTTTTCCTGTGCATCGAGTAAATGTTATTAGCCAAACAATATACTCCAAATGGTTTACCGAGAAAAAAAACTGTCATTGCAAACGTATACAACGTGAGAGTACATGCAATCAAGTGTTTGTTTGTTTTTTGGTTTAACAAAAACTTGCATATATTATTTCACCGTCTCAACTACGTTCCGTTTTATGTTCGTTTTGAATTTTCATTGTACAAATTTTCGTGTCGAAAAAAAAAGAGTTGAATTTTTCTTTGAAAAAAATAAATTTTGAATGTTTGCCTAATTTCATTTATTTACCTATTCGAGTCGTCTCACCTCAAAGGCGAGTTCGATGGACCGCTGGCACTTGCTGACTGATGGCTAATATTACGTTTTTCCGACATGAGGAAACTGTTTGGATCCTCTGGATCATCGTCATCATCAGCACCGACACTGAAATTTTCCTCTTCGGCACGCAGCGGTGTCCGAACATCAACCACCTCCATCAGTTGATCTGCAACAAATATGGAGAGAAGAAACACATTAATTAATAATGACATCTAACGCAAATCATTTGCAATGCGATTTAGCACTTACGTTGTGGAAGCTGAAGTAGCTCTTGGCCAGGTTGCGAATGATAGAATGAAACTTGCCGGAAATTCGGTTTCGCTTCGTCTAGCAACATCGAAACAATTTGCATGAATGTTGGACGCGCCGAAGGCCGATGCTGCCAGCACCGGCACATCAATGTGTATATTCGTTCCGGACAGTTTTCTGGTCGTTCCATCACACCACCGTCGATAACATAACGTAATACTTGATCATTTGATAAACCCTACGGAATGACGAAGAGACACGTGTTGAGAGCACAACACACACAAAGAAAATAAAACATGATACATACTTGATATGGTTGTGAGGCTAATGTAGCCATTTCCCACAGCACAATACCAAAGCTGAATACATCGCTGGAGCTTGAGAATACACCATCTTTTAAACTTTCCGGTGCCTGCAAGCAATACAAATTTGTGATTAGTGAAAAATGGCGGTGTAAATTTCAATCTTATACATACCATCCATCGAACTGGAAGTAACCCTTTGGTACCTTTTCGGTAATAATCTGTCTCGTAAATATCACGAGTCATACCGAAATCGCCAATTTTTACGGTCAAATCTTCGGCCACCATGCAATTTCTCGCCGCTAAATCGCGATGAACGAATTTCTTTGCTGCCAAATACGCCATACCGTCAGCAATTTCAATGGACATTTGTAAGATTTGTCGCAGCGTTGGCGGTTGTACATCGTTACCAGTTTCGGGACGATGTGAACGCAAGAAACCTTTCAAATCACCGTTAACCATCAGTTCCATTATCACCAGCACCGGTTGGCCACGCGAAACAACACCCAACAATCGAACGACGTGATGCGTATCGAATGCTTTCATAACAGCGGCTTCTTTCAGGAAATTGATTCGTTCGCGATCGGTTGCATTTTCATTGACTGTTTTGATAGCACAACGTATTCGATCATGGTCTCGATCCAAATTCAATACGACTCCTTCATACACCATACCAAACGATCCTTGACCCAATTCATTCAATTGAATTATTTTCTCGCGTGGAATTTCCCATTCGTCCGGCGTATATTGCATGCTAACATATTCCGGATTGACAGACGCAATGATTTTGATCCTTGAATCGGGTGGCCCGTATTTACGACGATAAAACCATGCTAACGCTCCGATGCCACACAGTACCAGAATGACCGAGAATACAATGATCACAATGATTGTGGGAGACAATGTTGGTTCATCGACATTGTGATAGACGGGCTTCGACCAGCGTGTATTCGAACCAGCCAATGAGTTGGCAACAACTGTGAACGAATAGTTTCCATTTACCATTTCGGTAATTATGTGTGATCTGCCCTGTTCACGATACAGATTTTGTGTGATGCAAATGTCTTGGTATTTTGCATGTTCGATATCAACGCGCCCATAACGAATATTATAGCTAACGATCATGCCATTTGGATTCTCCGGTTCGTTCCACGACAGTCGTACACCGGTGCTGTGATTTGAAACTGGCAATTTTTCAACTGCTACATATGTGACATCGTCTGCAGCCTCAATCTTTCCAGTTCGTTGATAAGCAATCATTTCATTACCTGTGTGATAGGGAAGGAAAGAAAAATTGACAGTGTTTCATTTTTGGTATTTGCTAAAAAGATAAATTTTATCGCATCAAATAAATCAAATGAAGCGATTAAAGTGGTGTTAAAAACGTACCGCAGTTGTCACCAGTTCCTTCGCGACACGCTTTCACTGTTATCGAGTAGTACGAATAGTGTTTGAGCTGACTCAAAGTCAACGTAAAAACTGATGCATTCACTTCTCTGTACACGTATGTGTAGTAGGTGTTTGTTGGATCCATTTTGTCAACTTTATCGTCAGTGGCTGGTTTTGTTTCGGGTTTTACATTTGGTTGGATTGGAAAAATTTCCGGTTGGTTCACTGTTGAGTTGCTTGAACGTCGGTGCCGTGTTTTGATCATGGTATAAGTTGTGCCATCACTCATGTACATTTGTGCTGAAACATCTCGACGCCGTCGTAGATTTTCTTGTCTGCAGAAGTAGAGATGAAATAAATTAGTGGCATTGTCGTGTTTTCACATGTTATTTTCTCTCTTGATTATCATTACTCACCGAACATAAACCGTATTATGCAGTTCGTCTTCAAATTCGATTAACTGTTCGGCATCTTCGTCTGAGAACTTGGTTTTCTCTCGACCGTCCTCGCTGTCACAACTACATCCAGAATCCAGTGTGGTGTCTTGCTTTTCCTTCTCTTTCACTTCATTCGGTTTGATAGATGTTGGGATTTTGGCTTCGATGCCCAATGCTGTAATTAAAAATCGTTTTCTTCAGTCTCCTAGTCCAAACGTAAAGCAATACACATAATAGCATAGCCGATTTGAAACTTACGTTCGTTACAATAATTTCGAAGATCTAAGAGCTGTGGATCATCCGGTACCATTGAAGATTTCACGATGTATTTGGTTAAATTGCCATGTGCATGAACTGGTGGCCCCCATTTCACAATCTAAATTTGAAACGAGAAAATCGAGCACGTTAAAATCAATGCGTATTTTGATGATCATGGTCTATGGTTTGGCTTACGATTTCTGAGCTGCCATTTGGAGCAACCGAGAGCTTCGTGACGGATTCGGGCTTATATGGTGCTGTTCGAAAATATTTGATTGGTGTAATACCACCGCGTTGTTCACTGGCAACGGTGTATGTTCGAATGAAGTATGCATACTGTGTGTATGGTTTCAAGTGTGTTGCGATGATTGAAACGGGTGTTGAATTGCGATTATTGTCAGGTACATCATCCACTTGCCATCCATCACCGCCGCAAGCATCGCGTCCATCGAACATCGTGACCTAATAAGAAAAGATTCATTTAAATTTGCATTACAATTTCGAATGAAGGTTAACTCACATTTTGATATGGAGCCGGCATATAGTACAGCAAGTAGCCGAGCAGTTGGCGTTCATCTTCATACGGCAATGGTTTCAGCTCCATCACAACAACATTGTGACTAAATGTTTTAATTTCAACCTCTAAACTTGTGACATTGCAGGCCGTTTTGTCGCCATTCGAGTTGGGTGCCACTTCATCGGCTGGCAATTTTGATACGTTGCGCAAATCGAGAACATTGTCTTTGAACCCCTCGATAATGTTCATGCAGAGTTTGGGATTAAAGTGGAAAAACATGCGACCGTGTTGGATGGTGACATTTTGTGTGAACAGTGCCTGAAGATTTTGATTTTCCAATACTTTGAAGCCGTACTTTTCTTTTCCGGTGGTGTCGCCTTCAACAATTCGTAATTTTTTAAAGAATCCCAATGAAAGCAATGGATACGAACGAACAATCGACAATGGACCTTCGATTACTTCGATATCCGATAAAAAGGTTTCCAATTCTCGCACAATATTATCTGAAATGAGTAGAACAAAAAGTCAATGCGGTTTAAGTTGAGTGTATCAAATTTTCAGATGATAATAAATGAATTCCAGACACTTACGACCGCCTTGATTTCGAATGTTAATCACAAATGGTCCTTTGATATGTGTACATCCACGATACCGTTGCGCCGTCGATATACTGTCAATGTTGCCGGGCGGGCACTCTTTTTTGCAGCTTCCTTTGCACGGGATGCATTCACGTTTTCCGCTCGGTCCATCGGGATAAAAGTTGCTCGGGCAATCGGTGGCGCATTTACCATCGTGGCGTGGAATGTATGGATAGTCTAACAGATTGAAATCGTATTTGACGAAGACCGGTTTTTTGATGGCACGACACTCATCCTCTGTGACACATCGACGATTCTCATGTGCAAATGTATTTGCCGGACAATTTTGAACGCATTGACGATTCGAAACATTGCCGAAACTGAGATAGCGGCATGACAAGCATACATTTGGATTTTCATTGGAACAACCAAGGCATGATTCATCACAACACTGTCCGTTTTCATTGCAAGTTAAGTTTCCGCATTTTGCTGGGCAAACTGTAAATGAAAATAAATCAACGTTTAATTGACTTGGTTTGCCAGCAACGAAGCAACTACATACAGTTTGTATACTCACTTATTTGGCATTGTTGATGGTTCCAACACAATCGCCGTCCAGCTGCTTCCGGGCAGACAATTGCATCGGCATTCGATTTTGACAGTTCACTATTATTGTTATCGTTCTTATTTCCACCAGGACAGGTCGGGCACTCGTTCACCGCTTTATTATTACTGAACATATTCTCCTTGCTGCCTGATGTGATTAACGACCAATCGATTGTGTCAACGAAACAAAGTGCTGGATTCTTTTCGATGCGAACAGAACCGCGTGGAATTTTGATTAGCGACGTCAAACCGATTTCCTGTGTGCGATTTTAAAAATTATACAAAAATTGATTAGAGAAACAAGTTCAGATGTGATGTAATGTAATTCGATTTACCTGTAGATGCATCATTTCAAAGATAATGAAGGAAAAATCATGAATCAAAACATTGCCACGGATGATGCGTAGATTTGGAAATAGTTTGCCGAGTGATTTGAGTCCATTCACACGGTATACTAGCAAAAATTCAGTGACTTCGGTGAGCAGTGGAAATTCGAGGCCATCATAATCCGTTTCGTTGTACTTATCAATAAGTGTAATCATAAGAAATCCTTCAATAACGCGGCAACCTTTCAGTTCGTTGAAATTTTTCACCGAATTTCGAATGTCTTTGCTACTGCATACTATGTGAAATAAAAATGAATGGAGAGAGAGAGAGAGAGAGAGAGAGAAAAAATAGCCATTAGATCAGTCAGTTAATTGCAAACAGTTTTCATCGAAATGTTTTTCACTGAGCAAATGCCTGTGTTCAATAAGCTGACAAGTAAAGAAGAACAACAAATTCCGAGTTTCATTCATGTTTTCAATTCGCTGTTTTTATGTCTTACAAAAAGACATGAGCATAGTATAAATATGTAAATGTAATTCAAAAAGAGAGAGAGAGAGAGAGAGAGAGAGAGAAGGAAGGGGGCCGAGCGCAAGAGCGAGATAGAGTGAAAAAGAATAACATAATTAAACATGACAGAAATGAGTAGTGTAAATGCATGTAATAGATTCATTGACGGGAATGAGGTGACGAATAGCGCGCCCAGAACAAATTTTCAAATCAAAACACGTGGGTTGTATGTGAATCATATGTGAATCCATTTTAATTGATCGGATTTATGAGCAGAATTTCGATTAGATTGAACAATAAAGCTTGCGGCGGGATTAATGTGATTGACATAAAATTGAGCTCCAAATCAATAGATAGAGATGTATTGGACTGGTATTACTGAATCGGCGTTCGATTGGTGCTTCAATAAAACGTTTCAAGTATCATGTGAGCTGCCTCTACACTCTGCATCATGTTCAATGGCTATTTACAATAGATTTAGTCGTAGTTTTTGGGTTTTACTACTACTTTATATACAAGATTGTTGGAAGACGCACTTTTGAGCACATTCCTTTCAGGTGACAGCTGCAACAGTTTCTTTCTTTTTATTGTGACTGCATGTTGATTGCTCTGCCAACCAAATTGACTTTGACGATGTTTTGAAAACAAAATAAAATAGTGATGTATTTTACGTGGACGGACAGAGAGAGAGAGAGAGAGAGAGAGAGAGAGAGAGCGAAAGAAAGAGGCTTGTAATGTCATTATTCAATGTTTGAAATGGCTTTTTGTGACAGAATTTATGTATTTGAGGAGAATTTGATCGAAAATGTCTAGCTTTAGGCACAATCTAATGAATTATCGTATCAACGCTGTGAAGCACAATGTTATTATATTCAACAGATCCTTTCAGAGTTCTGTTTGTCCCTATTGGAAGTTCACTAACATGAATCATGAATGACGTTTGAAATGCCATTTTTGAAAAATACCATTTCCAATATTTGGGTAAACCTTGTGACGAAATCATTTAAGACCGTATAGATGCTGCCAGAGCATCATTTTCTGAATATCTTCCATTTACGATTCATGCTGTTGTATCGTATGCTTGACAAACTCTTCTAACTGGAGAAATATGAATTAGCGATGTGGAATTTTGTGGATAAACGCAGACAACATACACACTCACATCAATTGAACGGACAATTGGCTTCAACTTCATTCATGTTAAAGATTTAACTGGCATACAATTATTCACTCTGAAATTCTTGGAAATGTGACGCTATCGCTAAACGGATAAATGCACGTATTGAAAAAAAAAAACGTAACAAAACACACGAATCGATAGAACTTCGATACTTGTCGGTTCTCATGGCCAATGAAATGTGGCTCATTTTATATTCTCATTAATAACATTTGATTGGAAGTAATGAACAAAAATTTCAATAATTGAATCATCAGTTAATATCAATGATGTCTACATTGATTTGAACTGAATTCCAAATCAAATGCTATTGTTATTGCTCGGGTTAGCTGACCCTATGCCAATTATAAATTCAGTCACCAATATTATTGTTATTCGGTTGCATTCGGTTTCGCTAAATTGAATTAGTTTTAATTTAAGAAAATGAAATCATATTTGCCCCTTTCAGATATAGTCCGTCAGCCAGTCACATTTGAAGTTTGATGTGTGGCTGTTTGACCAAGAGGAATCCACAAAAATCGGGCGTAAATGAAATAAAAAACCAAACGACGAATTGAAAAGAAAAGGAACGAAACGAAATCAAACAACGCCATAAGATTGATTTATTTATGAGTCTAGATCAATTTGTCTTTGACGACAAACAGTTGAAAAGCGCAACGATCAAAGTGTCACGGGTTTGCGTATACGTAATTTCAGACAAGAAATGAGAGATGTGATTTTGAATGGCATCTCCTCGTTTGGCTCGTCAAGAGATTGCAAAGCTATTATTAATAATCTGGGCCTGTCACCCATCTCGTACGTATTGAACGTGAAATTTGTTGTATTGAATCTCTAATCGATAGTTCAAAAACCATCGACCAACAAAAACAAAGACAACAGAATTGTTTTTTTTTTTCTTAAACCGTACACTTTTTTTACATAAATGTATCTTGGTCTCGCTTGTGTGCGCGCGCATCCACTTATTTGGGTCGTATTATTTTTAATAAATGCTTTGACTTTTCGATGGTACGCAACAATATTTCACTCTGATTCGGTTCCTATTGATAAATTTATGCGGAAAATGGGATAAAAACAAAAAACGAAATAGTTTTCAAGAGATAATTTGAAACACGCGCTCGTGTCTACTCAATCACATGGCCGTGTGTGCATGACTTGTCGCGCCTGCAGTCTGTACAGTGTACATCAACTAAAAATAGAAATAATGAACGAAAATAACAATTTTCGACAGAGAGAGAGAGAGAGAGAGAGAGAGAGCAACAACAACAAGAATGTTTCTATTTAAAACCCAACAACAAAAATAACAGTCGAAAAAAAAAATTTCAAGCAATAAAAACATGGTCTGGTTGTGGATCTTTTTCTTGCTTTTTTTCATCGTCATGCCCAAGTTTTTCCTCTGGCTGCCTGTCGTCTTTACGATACGTTCCAAAGCGATTGGTTTCGTTTAAGTGTTTTTTTTTTCAATTCCTTTTTTCTTTTTTACATTTCTTCATTTCTCCACTCTCTTTCGTTTCGAATCGCTTCCTCTCGACACAGTGAGGTCCGCTTCCGAATGTGTGAGTTTTTCACGTCTGATATTGTTTACATTATGAGTCAGAGGCGTGTTTTATCATCGACGACCTCGATAAAGTTTTTTGGTCTTGCGGAAAATAACGAGTATTTTCAATTTTCCATCACTACTACTATGTGTATACTTTCTACGCGCCACAGCCAACCACAACGCTCGTGGAAAATTGTTTGACTCAAAAAGTCAAAGATCAGCAGTATCATCATACTTGTTGACGTCGTCGTCGACGTTGTTGTTATTGAGCGCAAATTTAACGCCGAACATCACTATTTCGAAACAATATCAACTTGCCTCCAATAGCCAGCAAACGAAAAGAGACGAGGATATTGTTGTCCGCTAGACTCGGCCCACGGTTTGAATATCACGATATATATATTCTAATTTTAAAACTATGCATCATTCGATTGTGTTCAAAGCTACAAGATATTCTCCATTTTGGTTGCATTCAATTCAAACCATGACACAGAAATTATAGAAATGGTCTGGAAGACAGTTTCTTTTTTTTTGTATTTTTCGTATGCGCTTTTATTGCGACCGAGTGACAAAATCCACCGCTATCGACATACCAATCGTCCAAATTTTCACTTTCTTTCGTAATCCGATCCACTGACGTTAATGGTGATGAAACACACAAAAAATGTTCAGGAAAAATTCCCGAGTTTTCAACAACAATAATACACACGCACAAACCACGTGAAATCCATTCAAGAATAGGAAAAACTGTCAAATATCGTTGAATCGACATACAGTCACGGCGGTGTGATTTATTGTGGAACCGGATCAAAAATCTAACCCCAAACATTCCCAAATCAAAATGAATGCGACCATTTACATAGGAGAAACTCTTTTTTTAGCCCGTCCAAACGTTTTGTTTGAATTTTTTTCGGATTGAAAAACGATTTTCATTCATTTAAAAATTGTGTGCTGCGCCAAAGTTTGATAGTTTGATTTAGTGATTTCGACTCTCTGCCACATTCATTTCCGTTTTGATGAATTTCTACGCAACTATAATTGTGTGATGGGTGATTGTTGAAAATCTGGCAAAGTCGCACCAAGTCAAAGATCGCTTTGACAGCCAGTGAAAATGAGAACATTTGCGTAGGTGTCATGTCGATACATTTTATTAACACGTGGTATAAATAGCATGAATCGAAATTGATGTCGACAAGTGATAATAAAGCTGACATTTTTACGTTCGAATTGTATTTTTCAAGTGGTCACCGTTGAATGGTATTCTTGAATGTTTACTAGAGCATCATAAGCGTCTGAGATTTTAGCTTGATTTTACTCGAATCGCAAACCAATAGACGTTTTGATACGAGAAGATTTTCTGACCGTTTTTCTTAAATGTTGGTTGAAATATCAATAAAACATTAATTTGAAAGAGTGTGCACGTTTTAAGGTGCGTTTTGTGTAAATGAATACAACCAATGATATTTCCGGAGTTTGAACGCTCTTAATATCTCTGTCCGCTATTCGTCGTTCCTATCACGAACCAAAACTTTCTACCATTGAAACAGACAAAACGAAAACCGCATCAATAGCAGCAGCAGCAGTGAAAGAATCCGATAGATTACAATTGAACGACTAAATATAGTCGAGAGACAAGAATGGTAATTTATATGTATTGATTTTTCTCCTCTCGGTGTCATCGTTCACGTCAGTTTTTGGAATTGATGTATTTTAAATACTCGATCGTCAGCGTAAATCATCAACAAAATGGTCGAAATTGAGTTCGGGTGCGTCATTGGCAGTCCAAAAACGAAAGCAAAAGAAGAAGATAAACATTCCATCGAGTGAGAGAGATAGACGAAAGAGCGAAAGAGCGAAAAAAAATACTAATGTGAATAAAAAAATAAAGTTAAATGTTTCCTCTGTTCAAAGCCAAAGATTCTAATCGATATTGTGACTGCTGAGTGAATATTTCAAGTGACAAGTTATGCGATAAAAACAAAACGCGGGGCGACCGAAGCGAAACATGTGTATAAAGAAAGATAAAGTGAAAAATTTTTTCACTTTACCTACCATACACCTGTCATGACACGGC